CTGAGGACAGGACAAGAAGTTATGGGCTTAAATGGCAGCAAGGGAGATTTGGGTTAGAGATGAGGAAAGGCTTTCTTACTATAGGGGTAATGAAGCGCTGGAACAAATTATCTAGGGAGGTTGCGAAATCTCTGTCAATTGAGGGTTTTAAGAACAGGTTAGACCAGTGGTTCTCAGCATATTTACCATTGTGGGCTGCATATGTCGCTCTCTATATGTTATGTGGGCCGCATCCACACAATATATATACTACCTATACATAAAAAAAAAAAGGTTTAGTATTTGTTATTTGACAGCAATACAATTCAACTCGATATAGTACCTTTCATTTCAACACTGGTAAATGTCTACGAAGAGATTTTAAATTAGCAAAATAAGTCAAAACATTAACTGTTAAAATTAATTAATTTACTATAAGTGGGCCTTGGCATGGCATATTGCAACCCGCACTTCCACGTTGCTGCTGGTGGCACAGCTGATCTGAGTGCCCACAGAGCACGGCTGCGGAGCCTGCCTTACAAAGATGGGAGCCCTGCCAAGTGTGGGACACACACACACCCTGCTAAGGACTACCCCTACATATACCCAGCCCCCCAGCCAGGGGCTGCCCCTCAGCCCCTACCCAGACTGCCTCCCCCACAGCCAGGGAATGCCCCCCATCACACAACTCTCCTGGAACTATCCCCACAGCATCCAGACCCCACCCCCACACCGGGCTGGCACACATGCTAGCCCTGCAGGGAAAGGGTGCCCTGTCCTGGGCAGAAAGGACCCCCCAGGGATTTCCCCCAATGCACCCAGACCCCCCACCTAGGGACTGCCCCCCAGCAACTTCCTCCAGTGCCCAGCCCCCATATGGACTGCCCCTTAGCACTCAATCCCCCCACCCCATTTACGTACTGTCCCCCAGTATCTAGACCCCCACCCAGGGACTTCCCCCAGCCACCAGTCCCACCACCTAGAGTCTATCCCGCATGCACCGGCTGCACCCCTCTCCCCATGGCCCTAGCCCCCTGCATCTCCTCCCCATGCACCAGCCTCCTGCGCCCCCCACAGTCCTATCCCTCTGTACTACGCTCCCTGCACCCGCTAGTCTCCCACCTCAGCTCTTGCAGGTGGCTTAGCCATGCAGCGTGCCCTGCCTGCCTGCTGCTGTGGTCCTAGTGCTAGAGAGTCTGCTCCAGCCAGGGTCACTGGAACCTCAGTCCTGCGGGGTGAAGGGATGTTGAGCACCCTGACCTCCTGCCAATGCTGCCGGGCCCGATCCTGCCAGGGTGGGGGCTGATGTCACTGGGCCTGACCGTGTCAGGAGGGCTGATGCTGGGCCTGATTCTGCACCACCCCATTTTTGCACCTCCTCACCACCTCTGCGACCAGGGCAGGTGCCCCTTCCACTGTGCCCTAGTTATGATCTTTAGGATGTCATGTGGGCCGCAGCTTTGTGCTAACTGGGCCGCAGGTTGAGAACACTGGGTTAGACAAACACCTATAAGGGATGGCCTATATAACACTTAGTTCTGCTTCAGTGCAGGGGACTGGACTAGATAACCTAGCGTGGTCCCTTCCAGTCCTACATTTCTATGATTATACATATAAAACGGGAAGCACCACAGAAACGCCTTCTCAACTTTGCAGCACTCAACATGTACAGGTATGTTTCTTCTACTTTCTGAGGTTGGCAATGGACATATTTTTCATTTGATCTTTTGTCATTTTTTTTAGGCCACAAAGCTTGTTCTTCCCACGGAGGTGGTTTAACTAGTCCTTCCTTTAACCAAAATCATGTAATTAGTAATAGTCCAAAACACTGCAGTAAGAGTTTTGTAAGATGTAGTGTCCTGGAGCATTATTGTGGAACGTTTTTATTAACAAGCCAGGACCAGTAACTAATTGGCTCCTGGATACATGGTCTTTGATACTATAATGCCCCATACTGACCCCAGTCAAGACTTGCTGGTGTAGGCTGTTAGACTGGCAGCAGTTGGGTTGGGCTTGTGGGAGAAGACAATGCACCATGTATAAGGGGGGATATTTAAAAAGTAAGAATGCTTTAGGTGAGACATCACTGGCAATGCAACAGGGGACCCAATTATGAGGTTTTAGATTCTGAGCAGTTGACTGCTCCTGGTTGAGAGGATGAGCTGCTTTCAGAGGATCCCATAGGGGGAACAGAGAAGCTGCAGATTTGTAATTACAAAGCAACAAAATGTAGTTTTTCATGGTGTTTTGTAACCATTAATGAGTATTTTATGTAGACCTTGTCTTTGCTAGGCGGGTTTTGCCAATATTATTTAACTAATAGTTAAATTGCAAAAAAACCCTGGCTCTTATCTGCACTTGAAAGGTTTGCTGGTATAGCTACATCTGCACTAGGGCTTTTGCCAGCCTAGTAATGTTGGCAAAAATTACACTGCTAATTTATAGCTATGTTGGGAAAACTTTTAAGTACAGATCAGGCCTATTAAGTTTATTTTTAGTTTCATTAGGCTGTTCACAAGTACACAGAATAAGGTATTTTTGAAACGTGACTTTTTTCATATTATCAAATCCCTTGTTATGTAGCAGTCTAAATAAAATAGGAAAATGTCTGGTGAATGGAAGGATTAGTCTCCACAGCACTTCAGATTTCTCCAAGGCATCCAGGTGTTCAGTTCAGTTTCTAGATATCTATATCTACATAGATATCCTGACACTATGCCCACATAGAGGGAATAAGTAACCTGACTTTCTTCTTAAAATAAATGAGGAAACTTAATTGTAAACTGACAACAGCATGGGGCCATAATTATGCTGAAGATTTTTAATTTAAGTTCTGGCAAAAAGAGTTTATTGCTGTTCATGTATTGTTCAGCATGGATATGATTTAGTAGACTATCAAGAAAAATGATTGCTAAATAATCTGTTATTGATTTGAAGTATAGCAATCAATGTGATTTTTATTATTTTTAAATTTCCTTGTGTTTAGTACCATACAAGACACCAATAAGGACCATCCCAGTCCAAAGGATATACAGACAAGACAAGAAGTACTAAGCGACCCAGAATATGGTTGTATTCTTTGTGTGTGTTTGTTATTTTTCCTTGTCCTCCCCAGATGAGAATGGGTAACTGATTTATGTGGTCCAGTGTATTTGGGCCTCATTAATATATGTAATAATTTACATTCTATGACAGCTCTTTCTAGCTACAGTTTAATAAAAGAGCTGTTAGTAAGTCTGTCTCATACTTAAACCTCAGTTTCCTATTCACTACTCATCCCACCTCCTTGTGATTCAGCTGTGATTTGAAATTCCCAATGTAAGAACCCCTGCAATACTCCAGTTAGTGCTAAACACTTCATGCGCTATCTTTGAATACATCCCAACCCAATCTCATCTAAAGAAACGTTCATGCTGTCATATCCAACTTTCAGTCCACACCTTAAATGAATAGAGAAATTTTGTGTTGTGGATTCTTACATGCACCCCATCGTTACAAAACTATTTTGAAGCCTTCCTTTATTAGTGTTTATTCTGAAAGTAGGAGAGGGAAGTCTATTATACAGTTATAAGATCTGACTGAGCAATACGTTTCTCTGCTATGTATAAAAAGATATAAGGTAGTCACTAATTCACAATTTTGTGGTTAATGATTTTAAAGAGCTGTGAAATACATAATTGCTAATACGGCTAAAGGAGCAGTGCTCCACATTAAGGTAAATAGGTGAAGGCGAGTTACAATTTATTCATAAGTTTCAGAGTAGCAGCTGTGAATCTGAATCTGCAAAAAACAGGAGTACTTGTGGCACCTTAGAGACTGTAGACCACGAAAGCTTATGCTCTAATAAATTTGTTAGTCTCTAAGATGCCACAAGTACTCCTATTTATTCATAATTATTAATTAATAATTTAACCAAGAACGCTTGAAGCCTTGTCCAAGGATGGTTTTGTCAGCAGGAGGGAAGCCAGTGAAACTCTTGGGCCTGACTATCCCCACAGATGCAACTCATCTCCCATTGAAAAGTTGCGTGCATGCATTTCTGGAAAAAAATACGGACCTCTTATATGTTTAACAGCAAACATAAAACATTATAGTCAGGGAAGGAAGAATAGACAGCTCCTTGCTCCCCTTCCTGCTTCTCATCTGCCTAAAAAGTTTTGTCTTCTGAAGCCCTCTTAAGAGCTTAAAGATTTCAGTCATCTGCTTCCTCCCTGTGCTGTCCTTCCTTGCTACCTTTGCTGCTTCCTTCCTATGGAGTTTATCAGCTTTGAGCAAACCACCTGGACACCTCCATTATTCAAGCTTCTCTTAGCTGAACCCCGATTGGAAGCTGGAGAGATTTAATCCTATGGTAAATGAATCAGCATAGGGTGAACCATAAATGTTTGTGGTCTGTCCAGACCAAGGTACAAACATGTTAGCTAATATGAGGTAAATGGTAATTGAGTAATTCCAGTTAAAAGACAAAACAAAAAACCTCTAAGCATTTTGGAGAATTGCGTTTTGAATAAATTGAAGTGGCACTGAAACTCAGTATTCAGATGTAGGGTTCTGGTGTCCAGGCCAGGAGGAACCAGGTGCCAGCCAGCCAGCCTGTCCGTCCATCCCTCCCTGGCCCCATCTCACGCTGCACAAGACCTACAGGAGGAGATGGAGCCAGGTCTGGCATATATTCCTAGCTCTATCTCATAAACTGTAACCATCAAGGAGCCCTTCAATTAGATCAGCACCCTTGGTGCCAGAGGGATTGCAGGAGACGGTAGGAATTCCCTGCCTCCCCAGCCCCAGTGCTCATCACAAACCTGGCACCTCCCCTATCTAATCCATGGCCGTGAAACTACAGTCCCCTCCAGACGAACTACAATTACCAAGATGCTTTGCGCAGCGGCCAACGACGCTTGCTGAGTTTGGCGGGGGAGCCGCCACTCGGCCCAGTATCCACCAATAAGCGGCGAAAAGGGCCATGCGGCAGGGGCTTGGGTTGCGTTGTGTCGCGTGCGAGAATGGCGCGGTTTTCTTGAGGGGCGGGCAGGAGGAGGAGCCGCCGGTGGTGGTGGCGGCGGCGGAGGAGGGAAGGGCGGTCCCGCGGCTCGGCGGCATCTCCGGGGAGGATGCCGGTCCATTCCCGGGAGAAGAAGGAGAACAACCACGATGAGATGGAGGTGGATTACGGGGAGAACGAGGGGAGCTCCTCGGAGGAGGAGGAGACCGAGAGCTCGTCCGTGTCCGAGGAGGGGGACAGCTCAGGTAACCGGGAAGCGGGTTCGCGGGCGACGGCACCAGGGGCCGCTTGCAAATGCCGGGGGAGGGTGTCCGCTCGCGCAATTTCACTGCACGGGGAGGGGGCGTTAACGCCTTCCCCCGCTGTGTGTGTGGGGGGGGCAGTCCTCCCCAGCCTCCGCACGGCAGCATCTGACCCCGCCCCTCCGCACGGCAGCATCTGACCACCACCCTCTTCAGCCCTCTCCCTTCCCCTTGCACGGCTGCGTCTGCCCCCTTCTCCCCTGTACGGCAGCTTCTGAATCCCCTTCTTCTTGGTGGGGTTGGGGGTGACAGCCCACAGTCTCCCCTGCTGGGCAACTTGTAAAACCCCCTTTACTGGGGGTACGGCCTTCCCGCTCTGCATGGCAGCTTGTGGACACAGCCCTTCTTCCTCTGCCTGGCACCTTTTGAGCCTCCTCTTCCCAAGGGGATATGTCTCACCCCCTCCTTGTTCATGGCAGCTTTTTGCTTTACCCCAGGGGACCACAGCCTGTGCCACCACGCTCCCTCTGCATGTCTATTTCTTCTTGCCCTGTTGCCTGATGTGGGGGCCACAGTCCCCTTCACCTATCTGGTAGTTTCTCCTTTTCTGCCCTGGGGGGCACATCCCTTCTCTCCTTCCCTTATGTGGAAGATTTCATCCTGCTCCCTTCTTACATGGCAGCTTCTCCTTATCTGTCTTTCCTTGACTTGAGTTACTATTTTTTTCCTCCCTATACACAGTATTGTAGTATCTTGTCCCTTGCCAGGAGTGTGGCGTACAGTTGCCAACTCTTACAAGACAATATTATGCATCTCAGATAAAGCTTTTTAAATAAACTATGAGTATTTAAAGAAACTGCAGAGAATTTCTTGTCAAAAGTTCCATAGAAAAGACTTTCCAAGGAATAAATATAATTTTTAAAATACTACATATCACTTACAAGAAATTATCTGTTGGTAGTGTTGTTGGTCCCAGGATATGATACACACAAGGTAGGTGAGGTAATGTCTTTTATTGGACCAACTTCAGTTATGTCAGTTTGTTGATGTTTGGCATTAGTGACGGAGCAGTTGAAACCTTCAGGATTGCAGCAAGGGGTGCATCAGGTAGTTATGTTCAGTATTTTGACTTGTTTATATTCATTGTGGGGAAAAAAGTGACGCTGCCTCCATGTCTGACTCTGCCCGGCGACTAGTGATGGTCCTCTATCCCTCTCCCACAGCCAGTGGGAGCTGCGGGGGGCGGCACCTGCAGCATACATTTCGAGCAGCATGGTTGCATGCATCTCTCCTCTGTGGGCTGCAGTGGGGAGGTTCTCCCGCTGCAGATGGCCCGTGGGCCAGGACTTTGAGACCCCTGCTGTTAAGCATAAGGGTTATTGCATAATATATACCTTCCACCAAGTTGGTCCAATAAAAGAAATTACTTTAGTGTCAATATTAATGTGGCTGTGAACTCAGTTGAAGCTACTATATTGCTTCAAACCGGCAAAAAGTGAGGTTGAGTTGGATAGGGAATTATTCTGCTTTAAATCAAGGGAAGAAGCTTTGGATGGAATAAAGTTTTGATAAGTACTGAAAATAATTGGTGAGCTTACCTTTAACATATTTAACTCCACTTGGTTTATTTTATCAACAGGTGTTGTCCAGAAGTTTTAGATATAGTTAGGCAACCAATACAGTCTGCCCTTGAGAATCAAGACTCCTCCAGTCCCACTCCCCTGAGTTTAGAAATGCCATATTAGTAGGGACCTACCAAATTCATGGTCTATTTTGGTCAATTTCACGGTCATAGGATTTTAAAAATTGTAAATTTCATGATTTCAGCTATTTAAATCTGAAATTGCTCCGTGTAACTTTAGGGGGCCTGACCCAAAAAAGAGTTGGGGGGGGTCTCACAAGGTTATTATAGGGGAGGTTGTGGTACTGCTACCCTTCTGCTCTGCCTCCAGACCTGTGCTGCTGGAGAACAGCAGCTGCTGGCAGGGAGTCCAGCTCTGAAGGCCGAGTCGCCACCAGCAGCAGCACAGAAGTAAGGATGGCAATGGCAAGGTATGGTATTGCCACCCTTACTTCTGTGCTGCTACATACTGAACTAGGCCCTTACTTTGCCACCACTCTCAGCCTGCCCACCTCTGAAGACAGCAGTACAGAAGTAAGGGTGGCAAGCTATGGTGTTGCCACCCTTACTTCTGAGCTGTTGCTGGTGGGGCACTACAGTCAGAGCTGGGCACCCAGTCAACAGCCATCACTCTCCGGCCGCCCAACTCTGAAGGCAGCGCAAAAGTAAGGGTAGTAATACTGTGATCCCCTTAAAATAACCTTGTGACCTCCCCCTGCAACTCCTTTTTGGGTCAGCCACTCCAATTTGAGAAATGCTGGTCCCCCCCCGTGAAATCTGTATAGTATAGGGTAAAAGCACACAAGGCCAGTTTCATGGGGGGAGACCAGATCTCCTGGTCCGTGATGTGTTTTCATGGCTGTGAATTTGGTAGGGCCTTACATATTAGTGATGAATGTCAAAGCCACAAGTTATGCTCATCATCTCAGATGAGAGAGACATTTTGTAGGACACCTTGGTATATCTGTATTGGCCACATCTTATAGGAGAGCAAATTCAGAAATTTACTTGAAATACTATTTTTTCTATCTCTACCTTTAAGGCAGGCTGCCCTAATTACCACAAGTCCTGCCCTTCAGGCTTTAGAGGAAGAAGAAATTGTAATACATTTTAGAAACATACCAAAATTACCTAAAACAATTCTCCCATACATAAAGTTGTGATTTTTTTTTTTTAATACCTTGAGGCATCCCAGGTCTAGAAACGAGTGATCTTTTGGGAAGTGGGGGATTTGATATCTCTGTCTCTATAAATCCTAGCCTGAAGGGCAGTGAGATATCTGACTTCTAACCAGTTACTTTTCCAGGACTATTACCCATCATGCTTCTCAAGTTTGTGTAACTTTAGGGAAGAAATACCAATTTTTTGGAGATAGGGAATATAGTAAACTACTGGCAGATACTTTAAAGCTATTTGGAGGTTGGAAATGTTACAAATAATCCTAGTGGAGATGGATTAGTGGGCAGAGTGCAGGTGAGGCAGTCGGAGGTACATGATAAATCCAGTTGATCATGAAGGTGTGCTATTCCATATGTATTATGTATACATGAAATACTACCTTCTGCTAGGTGGAAGGTGAGTCTGGCTTGTGTGTGTATGTATGTACACAACTGTAGACACGGAGGGTCTATGGTTGTGCTAGCTGCAGCTGGAAGATGGCATTATTCTCTCATACTTTGAGATGGTGCATTCCGCATTGTAGCAGATGACAAGAGTACACATCCACACTACCCAGTATGTTGTGCAGGGGGGAAAGGGTCCAGAGGACCACTGATTCTCAAGGAGGTTTGGGGTTGAGGTTGCTTATATTGATTTAAAATCTCTTGATATTGGTTTATGAAGTAAACTAATACTAATTAATTTGAAACAAAGCATTAGCTACAAAAATTACTTACTGAAACATGTCTAGAACCTGAAACATAGCTGAGACCCACTGAACTGTGGAACAAAGTAGAAGAAACTTTAGGATCCTGTGTGCCTTCCTGCCTTGTGTGAGGCAGACATCCTGAGGAGTAAATTGTTGGGGTAATTATGTAAGGGAGCTAAAGGTAAGAGTAGGAGGGTTTTTTCTTCCTCATATTTATACTGTCTGCAATGCAAGCCATTAACAGGCTATAACTGTTGCAAATATTCACGTCGAGGAATGGGTTATGGCTAGACAGGATATTTTACAAAACAACTAAATTATTTGGAGCCAGTAAGTTATGCACATTTTCAGTCCATATAACTTTCTGATTTTATTACTACACCTCTACCCTGATATAACGCCACCCGATATAACACGAATTCAGATATAACAAGGTAAAGCAGCACTCTGGGGGGCAGGGCTGCGTTTGCCGGCGGGTCAGCGTGTCTGGCTCCGACATGCTGCTCTGAGCAGTGTGTTAAGGGTGCCGGGCTGGGGCCGAGTGGTTGGATAAGGGGCAGAGGGTCTCGGGGAGAGGGGGGGTGGTCAGGGAGCAGGGGGGTTCTGAGGTTCTGGAGGTGAGGCGGTCAGGGGACAGGGAACGGGGGCATTGGATAGGGCGTGGGAGTCCCGGGGGACCTGTCAGGGCACGGGGGTGTGGATAGGGGTTGGGGCAGTCAGGGGACAGGGAGCAGGGTGGTTGGATAGGAGGTGGAGTCCTGGGGGTGATTAGGGACAGGTGGGGGTCTCTGGAGGGGGCAGTCAGGGGACAAGGAGCAGGGGAGCTTAGGGGCTGGGAGTCTTAGGAGGGGTGGTTGGGGCAGGGGGTCTCTGGAGGGGTAGTCAGGGGACAAGGAGTGGGGTGGGGTTGCATGGGTCGGGGGTTCTGAGCGGTCAGTCATGGGGCAGGAAGTGACTATTAATAACTGAAATGCTCAAGGCCAAAGCAAGTTCAATATAACGCGGTTTCACCTATAACACGATAAGATTTTTTTGGCTCCCAAGGACCTCATTATATCGGGGTAGAGGTGTATTACCCTTGTCTATATTGCCTCTTCCCCTTATTGTTTACTTGTTGCATCTAGTCTTTAGTCAATAATGAATAATTTGTCCCATCCTACTGTTGCTTCTTGCCTGTTAACAGTAAAATAATATTTTAATCAACAGAAGTAATCTTCTGTGTTAAATATAACTTAATTTGAAATTGTAATTTCTGATCTAATAGTACTTCTGTTCTCTGAGTGTGTGTGTGTGTCTGTGAGTGTGTATGCAAACTATGGAGTCCGATACAGAATTCCCTGCCTACCTCTCAGAAGCTGCTGTGGTGAATGGAAACTCCCTGAAATGGCTGATGTCCTTTCTTTCAGAAGGAGCCCAAAAGTTCACTGTGACCTGCTCTTGTTCACCACCAAAGCGCTCCTCACTTGTGGACTACCAATGTTCAATCATTCCACCATGCTGTTCAACTGTATGAGC